GAACCAGTACTACAACCCATGGTACAGCTTTTTGTTTTGAATATTTTCAAGTTCCTTCAAAATGGTGGAGGTTATTGAAATTTGGCAGGCCGAACTTTGCTGTCTTTTTAACTTTTTATAATACGCTTAACTGAATGGGTATGCTTTATGATCTATATCTATAAAAGAGGAAAATATTTGTAATGTATGGACTCGAAAATCGCTGCACAAATATTCCTGAAAATTTCCAAGTATACTTCAACATCGCCTGAAAGTAACATAGGCTATATAAATTTTAGAAATTCTACTTGGAACTGGAGATATAGCATCAAACTCGGAGGTACTTCCCAAAAATTTAGATTTTGTATGCACATATCTATTGATCGATTACAGATACATTTGGAACAAAAATAAATTTGCCAAATTATATTGGAATCTGTTCAGATTTGGATATAGCTCATGTATTTGATGCATTAAACACGCTGTGTATGTCACATTTCAATTTGGAATGTGTGATGGAATTTGTCTAAAAATTTGCTTGCCAAATTATATTGAAATCGGTTCATATTTGGATATAGCCGATTTAATGTATTTGTTGCACCAAACATGCTATGTGTCTCTAATTTCAATGAAATTTGGAAAGTGCGACAGGATTTGATCAGAAAATAAATTTGTCAAATTATATTGAAATCGTTTCAGATTTGGATATAGTTCATATATACAGATTCGGCCGATTTCACATATTTGATGCATTTGATGCAAACACGGTATTTATCTCCAGTTTCAATGAAATATGGAAGGTGTGACGGAATTTGGTGTTAAACTGAATTTTGTAAAATTATATTGAAATCGGTTCAGATTGTGATATTATTTTATTAAGAAGCATTGAGCCACGACGCCTTTGCAAAGGTGTTAGGCTAACAGTAAAAAACTACACAACAATTTAATTGAGGATACGATCATTACGGGGAAGTATGTTGCTACCTCAAATTCTCTAATTGAAACAGAAATGCCACCAATGAAGTTAATAAATCCGACGGACAAACACTTCGTGTATGCGGACTAAATTTGGCATGTTCTGCTTTTCTCATGGTCAACTATTCCTGACATGCTCACGCGTTGTTTGTTTATGCATTAAAGTATTACAATTATTACGTTTCTAATTTTTTAAATTTGTTTTATTAATTTTTTTACCAACAAGACGGGACAAGACATAGTAAAAATATTGCAACCCTGTGAAAATACCTCTGTTGTTATGATATCGTAACAAAATAGTTAGCAATGTTAAGCAATTTAAACCGCTTAGGAAATATGTAATTAATTGGAAAAGCTTATGGAATAGAATTTTGAAATCCTATTTTTGGATTTTTTAAACTTTTATTTGTCATTTTTTTGCTCTAAATGTGGTTTTATCTTAACATGATCCTGTCATGAGCTGTTATTCTAGATAGTATAGACACCAATCATCTACACAGAATACATTTTTTCTAGTCTATACCATTTTAGGTCTTTGCATATAAAATCAATAGGGGTAGCGAAGCCCACTTGATTCAGCGAGTAGTATATATTAATATATATTCATAGACTTAGTGTTAAATTTTAAAAATTTTTCAGCGCGCTTAAAATTCAGCTACAAAAGTGTTCATTTCGAAATATGAATAAATCACTTTACGTATTACTTTAGTATTTCATGATTAAGACATTTTCAAATGGAATGGGTGTTACCATGGTAGAATAAAGAAGGTAAAGTCATGCAATCATATGTTTACAATTTTTTTCAAAATTATTCAATTAACAACATTTCATTGTCAAAATGTTTATTTATAAAACCATTGTACAGACACAAATCAGAGATGGTAACCTGCCTTCTATGCAGTAACATTTGACAAGGTAAATTACAGAAAATGCAAAGATGGGAATGCTTATTTGAAACGACTTTACCTTCTTAAATTTACCATGGTATAATTATTACAGGTAACAGCAAGTCCCAGCTGATTTGACTCTATAGTAATACTAGTGTCAAACTCGATACGACGTTTTGTGATTTAATTCCATTTCTTGATATACAATAGGTATTTTTTGATATAAAATTTCACTGCAGGGCAATGTGAATATATTTTTTGCCTAATAATAGAAAAAAATCGCCGTTGTACTTAACAAAACGCCCAAGGTGATGGTTCGGAAACTTTTTTTGGGGTTAAGGAACAGCGAGACCACGTTAGATAATAATTTCGTATATTTCATGTTTCCTAAAATTGCAAAATGTAAAATACTTTATGTATGTACGCTGTTTGGTTTCAACTTGAAAGGGATGTTGCCTTTTCTACGATTTTCTAGCTATTGCTTGAAGTGTTAAGAGATTTGGACCTACAGCTAACAACTATATATTCAGGGGAATGATGTGAAAGCTTAAAAATTAAATATTTTAAGAACTGTTCTTCTGCATTTTCAATTTAATAATCCAAATTCCAAAAATGTATATTTTTGAAGTTAAAATAATTTATTGAAAATTTATTATTTTGTTTACATATTTAGACAATTGTATTACTTACAAAAAAAAATTGTATGTTGTTCCGATTGTTGTACAACAACACTTGCTGTTACCCATGGTACAATGAAGAGAAGGTAGGCCAACTTTGAAAAAATTGCAAGTATAGAGGTCTACCTGTTTGGCTTGTAATGTCAAAATTAGTATCAAAACGATAAAAATCAAACAACTTGTTGCATTTATTTTAAATAAATAATTGAAAACCGCGATAACTGAATGAAAGGTCAACACTTCTTTTCAAAATCATGTACTATATATCTCTAAAGGATTATTTCGCTACAAAAACTCTAGATTTTGTCGATGCATACGTTGAAATAAACATTTTCAAAACATCCGAATTTGAATATTTTCTGAACAATTTTTGGTTATTGAAAAGAAAACACATACATAAACAAATAAAGATGACATATTAAGCCAAGAACATAAAAAAATTAAAATCATATGGTATCATAGCCCTACCTTGATATCATTGTACCACGCTGTTACCTGTATTTTTCTACCATGGGGTGTTACATAGGTGGTGTCACTTTTATATATCTAAAAAGCATATAGTCTGATAGAGTCATTAGTAAATCGAGTATATTTAATATCGCATAAATAAAAAAACTCTGTGCCGCCCATACTCTGTAGGCATGATGATCAGCATTTGCAAAGGTATGTGTAGATTTCAATCGGTTTAAGTACAGTGGGTCGCAGTGAAAATGTTCCACCTGTAACAAAATACTTTAAACATTAAAAAGTCAATAAAAATATAAAAAAAAATATATATAAAAAGAGGAAAATTTAGTTAGATTATGTTCTTGCAATAATAAATAGGAAAATAAACATTAATAATTCTACATAATTTTGGGCAACATTTAACATTAAGCATAAAAAGAAAAAATGCGTGTCACAGTGAATATGGTCCACAGTGTAGATCAACGATAAATAACGGGAGTTTTCCATATTTTTATTTTGTTCTGTATTCCTTGCCTTTGCTTACACTTATGCATTGACACGAAATTAGTTTATATCGATCTACTGCTTCTTTTTATTTCATTTTCACGATGGGTCGTCATACTACGGCCGAGCTTCGAAATTTAATTATTGCCCACTAAAAAAAGGGAAAAAACCAAAGAGAAATCGCGGATATCGTTAATAAACCTCGGGCAACAGTTGCAAACATCATTAAACGGTTTAAAAATGAAGGGCGTGTTATTAATAAACCAAAAATTAGCCCAAAAAAGTTTTTCAGCGATTATATAGATTATACCCTGATTGAGTGCACCAAAGCTACGCGATATGGTTGAGAAACATTACAATATAAGCTGTAATGGCTAGACAGTGCGGAGAGTCCTTCGACCATAAGTCCATTTAGACCATAATGGCAGAATCGAACGTAAGAAGCCGTTTGTAAGTTCAAAGAACAAAAAAAAAAATCGATTGCAGTTTGCTCACAGCTTTACTGGGAAATATTTTTCATTCTGAATAAACGTTTTATTTACGGATGAGAGCAAATATAACTTGTTCGGGTCTGATGGCAGAGTTAACGTTTGAAGAAACCCCAATCAGGAGATGAACCCGAAGTATTTGCGTCCGACGGTTAGACACGGTGGGGTTCATGTGATGGTTTGACGTGCTTGTTCCGCCGCTGGTGTTGATAAATTGCACTTTGTTGAAGGAAATATGGACAAAATACAATATTTAAACATTTTGAAAATCAAGCTTAAACAAAGTGCTGAAAAACTCGACATAGAAGACTCCTTTCATTTCTATCAGGACAATGATCCAAAATATATGGATATTATTGTAAAAGAATGGCTGTTGTATAATTGTCCTAGAGTAATCAAAACACCCACCCCCCCCCCCCCCGCCCCAGATTTTAATATAATTAAAAATTGTGGCAGAAACTGGAAACTGAAATTCGAAAACACTACATTTTGAGCAAAAATGACTTAAAAATGGTTCTTTTGGAGGAGTGGGAAAAATAAGTCCAGAATATACCAAAACCCTAGTGGAATCTACTCCCAATCGCCTTAAATCAGTTATTTGCCAAAAAGGATACCCAACAAAATATTACAAATTAGTTTTATTACACTTTATTAAGTTTGAGTTTAAGTGGACCATTTTCACTGTGACATGATTTTTTTTGTAAATGTAAATACTTTCGCAAAATTTTGTGGAATTATTAAACTTTAATTTCATATTGATTTCTTAAAGAATATGAATTAACTATTTACGCCTCTTTTGTTTATACATTTTTATTGATTTCGAAGACTTTTTATTGTTTAAAGTGGCTTGTGACAGGGGGACCATTTTCACTGTGACTCACATTTGAAATTTGAAGATTTCCGCAAGTAAAGGAACGTGGCTATTATAACGGCAAATTCACAATGTATTATCGCCGACATTTTCAATTGTGTCCCGTTTGTTGCTGTTTCGTTTACAAAAATACCATAAAACGAACGTTTCTTTACAATCTGGTAATATCGTGTATAGACAGCTGATATACGAACGTCGGAACGTGTTGGAGAATTACAGTCTACTTCTGACAATAATATCAATTAGAGACATTAAAGCTCAATAAAATATTTAATATTTTCGGTAAAATAATCGAATTTTCGAAACACTAAACTAAAGAAAACAAAATTCGGCATGAATTTAACGTTACATTTCATGGTTTATGTAAAGTAAATTCATACGTGTGTGTGTGTGTGTGATGGTCGCTTGTAATAATGAATACCAACAAACAATTTTTGTACGCTTTACAACACTGACGATTATTGTTGTCGCCGTCGGTCGTCTGAATGGAACAATTTAATGTTTGTAGTATTCGTGTGGCCAAGTGCAGAAGTAAAGAGAAAATAAATGCAAAATTTCTAGAAAAGAGTTGTGATAAAAGTGAAATAATGTTGTGAAATATATAAAAGAACTGAGAGAGCATTGAATGAGATACAAAGTTTCTTTGCCATTAGTTTTAAAAGCGGAGAAAAATCAATACACAGATTTGCCGTTTGTGCAATAAGCCAAAGCCAATCAAGACATTTCATTTTTCCTGCCCGTGAGTTGTTTTTGTCATTGAATTTTGAGTGAAAAGTGTTTGATAATGACCATAGTGCGAATGAGTGGAATACGACAGAACGGCAGAAAGGGAATTGAGTTTGACATAAATAATACCGGAGATGATGATTAATGGGTCAACTGGAATAAAAAAGAAATGCCAGGTTCTAAAATTAATGGGAAGTTGTCTTTTACATATTTGATTTTATTTTGATCACACATTCTAAACATTAACAAAGGTGTTTTTGTAGTTCAGTTTAATTTTTCACCTTTTTACATTTATGTGGACTTGAAATTAGTGTGTATCAACAACACAAGTCTGATTGGGATAAATATTCAAGTATTGAAATTATTCTGTTTTGTGGTTTGGTCCAGGGATGCAAGAGCTTACGGCCATTATTTTATTTCCAACTAAAGTCGTTTTTTCATTTAGCCAGCAGGTACAACACACACCTACTAGTGTTGGAAACTTAGGTTTGCTTGTACTTTTTCACATTGAGGTACAATATCTATGGAATATGGAACAAGTTTCCTTTATGGATCTATATTCCTCAGCAATTTGAAAACAGTAGTTATATTAATTACAACTCTATATTTTTTGCGCAATTAATATTCCAACATATGGCCCTCAAATTTTTCGGCATACGATTATTCAATGGTGTAATGGATTATGTTGAATGGTTCGCAGATTGGTTCAAATTCGTATCGTCATAGAGCAAGAGACCCATACATTCGAGTTTATTTTCCGTTTTTTTCATATATTTTAGAATTTTTTAAATTTATTTGGGCTGTACCAAAACCTAAATCTATATAGCCCATTTTCAATGCCAAAAGTCCTGCAGAACTAACACACATCTGGGTAAAATTTTTGCAAACTACTTGATTTCGTTCGGAAGCTAGAGTGATTTTTACAGATGGACAGACATTGCTAAATCGACATAGAATTTTGTGCTGATTAATAACATATGTCTACCTCTTGTGGGTCTAGCATTTATATAACGGAATGACAAACTTAATATAACCTCCATGCTATGGGGAAGGGTATACAAATCGGTAGAATTAACTGTTTTTGAAAAATGCTAGTCAGTGAATTAGTGTATATGTGGTAGTAACATACAACTCTTTTCAATCAATCTTCAATTTTTCTTATATAAATGCCGTTAAACGCCGGTGAACAATATTTTATGGCAAATAGCAAAATGTACAGAATAAGACATTTACCATCTCTGTTCCATGAAAGTGCGTTTAGATGGTACTTTTGTTCGAAAAAGTACTTCTCTCATCACTGCTACCACCACAACAATTGGCCTTCCGTCATTCTACTTTTCGTAAACAAACCTTAGAATATATTTACAATTTAAGGATTTTTTAAGCAGATTTATTCATTACTTTTCGTTTTTTCCACTTTCTTATTTCACAGCTCTATTGAATTGCATTGCAGCAGGGAAGATAAAAAAATCGATTTCCCTAAGAACACCTTTGTTTTGGCCGAAAACAACAGAATCGTCGTTTGTTTCAGCACCTCGTGAAATGTCAAATGAAATGAATGAAAAACAATAACAACACAAATAAGTGGCGAATCAGTGTTTGTGAACGAATAGTAAGGGGAATAGTCCCAAACCAGAGAGAAGAAGAAAGATAAATTGCAGAGAATATGTAGACATGGAATGTCTACAACTTTTCTGAACAAACGTGTGGAAATTGTCTTGCATTTACGGTTGGAAAAAGTCTCTAAATATCAATAAATGATTACAAATAACGTCGAATCATAGTAAAACGATTTACAAAAATACAACCAAGTTTGAAACCCGTATTCGATGGATTTGCTAGACAGCGCAATGGAGCTATTGAATAATACTTCATCGCCCACGATTAGCAGCGGAGGTAGTAATATCAGCTCAACAACATCTCATGGCGAATCCCTATATCAACTGCAATCGGCAAATGCAAATAATTTAGTTCAAGAAGCAATGGCCATGGCATCAGCCGCAGAGGGGGTGGATGGAATAGGTGGTGGAGGTGATGTCAGTGGATTAGAAGTTGTATCTCAGCCACAACAAACACTGGAAGATGCTTTTCTACCCCGTTATGCATTGAAATCACCCAGGTCTTCTAGCAGCAGTGAGAGTGAATCAGAGGAGGCTACAAATCCAACAGCTGGAACTTCAGCCGATGGCAATGGGGAGAGGGTGGCTTCACCACCCCCAAATTGTGCCATCTGCTTGGGTCGTTGCAAAAATAAATGCTTTACCGACTCATGCATGCATCAGTTCTGCTTCAAGTGCTTGTGCGAGTGGAGCAAAGTCAAACCAGAGTGTCCACTGTGCAAGCAAACCTTCAAGTCGATTATTCACAATGTCAAGTCAGAGCACCAATTTGAAGAGTACCATGTCCAGCCGCCAACTGTGCAAATTGCTCAATCCCAATTTGATATGGATCTGGCACAGATGCGCATCTTTGGCGTTGTTAGTCAAAAGTAAGTATTGATTTAACACAATAGAACATTAAATGAAGCAAAATACCTTAATGCAATTCTCTTCATCACATAGTATTGGCCGCAATGAAACCTGGAGTGATCGTGTGAATCCTAATTTTATGTACGCTATAGCCCCAACAGCAGCTGGCGGTGGTAACAACAATCGTTCCATGCCAGTAGGTAGCTTGCGAAATCAATATATGTATCGTGCAGAGTTATTGGATTTATATCGTCAAGAATATCCTGATAGTACATTAAGCCAATTGTGGCGTCGCTATGTTTACGATCGAAAATTATATGCCCTGCCAGTTCGTGATGTTACCGGGCGTTTTCGTGAAAGCAGTTCTCAGTATTATAGGTAAGATAATTTCTCAGTATGATACTTGATTCTTTTGTTTTATCCACATACAATGTATTTCCAATTGGCATGGCTATTTGAAGTAAAATTTCATTAAACTACCGTTTTCTTTATATCAAGTCTGGTGACTTTTTCAGTTTTTTTAACAGATAAATTAGCAAAGTTCAAGGCCAACCCTGACAGATTATGATCTATTTCTTAAAAAATGAACAGTAAAAAAGTCAAGATTAGGATACCTTTGCAATATTGGGCGCAATATAAAAGAATATAAGATTTTATTTACAGAAGTACACTTTTTTAATTTAAAAGCAGTAAATGATTTACAGTTGGCACCAACGCATTCTGCATGTTTTTAAATTATGTCATTATGGCGCCCTAGAGGTCTTGTAATTGTAACGACATCAATTATCACCTTTAAAAAATGGGCCTTTGTCATAGTTTTTTAAGGGGTTGCTCCACCTCATGGCTGAGGATAATAAAAGTTCGGCCAGGTCAGGCTTAACGAATTTAACCTTGATTTAATTAACGAATTTATCTTTGATTCAATTTCATTAATTATTTTTAATATGTTTTTATTGAAGTGTTGTTTTTTATTGTTGACCTGTTGTACATGAATTCTTAATAACTTTATTTTTGCTAGTGTTTTATTTTTTTTTTATAATTTGGATTTTTATTTTACGATATTTCGACTGTCTTCGACAGTCATCTGCAGATGGGCTATATCGGTCCACGATATTGTATAGCCCCCATACAACGGTATCCCCCGATATTCGGTATTTTGATGATTTTAGCTACATTTTTCAATGGAACGGTCTAAAGATCAATATTAGAAATTCTTTCCAAGCACTTTACTCCCTGGAAGAGAAATATATAGGTTTACGATATTGTATATCCCCCATATATTGATACCCCCAATATTCGATATTTTGATAATTTTGCCACATTTTCCAACAGAATTTTCTGAAAATCCACACAAGGAGTTTTTTTTGAGTACTTTATTCTGTGGAAGAGAATTGTCTATATAGGTTCACGATATCTTATAGCCCCCATATAACTGTTCCTTCCGATATTCGATATTTTGCTGATTTTAGCCACATTTTTCAATGAAATTGTCTGAAATTCTACACTAGCAGTTCTTTATGAGTTCTTTAGCACCTGAAAGAAAATAGTCTGCATAGGTCTACGATATCGTATAGCCCCCATACAACGATAGCTCCCGATATTCGGTATTTTGATGATTTTAGCTACATTTTTCAATGAAACTGTCTAAAAATCCATACTAGAAGTTATTTTCAATCACTTTACTTTTAAAGAGAAATATATAGGTCCACGATATCGTATATCACCCATATAACGATTCCTCTTTATATTCGGTATTTTCATGACTTTAGCCACATTTTCCAACGGAATTGTCTGAAAATCCATACTAGAAGTTCTTTCTGAGTAATTTGCCCCCTGTACCTCCAGATATGGAAGATTATTGTCGATATAGGTCTATGATATCGTAAATTCCCTGATATAACGGTATTCGACTGATATTCGATATTTTGATAATTTTAGCCACATTTTTAAATGGAAATGTCTATATAGGTCCACGATATCATATAGCCCACATACAACGGTACCGCCTCATATACGATATTTTGACTATTTTAGGGACATTATTCACCGAAGTTGTTACAAATTTTGTATTTAGAATTCGTAGGTCCAGGTCTTCGTATAGGCCCAATATATCAGTACGTCCCCATATTCTATATTTTGATGATTTTAGCTACATTATTCACCGGATCTTTTGTTCAATTTTCGTATTTGAATATTGTAATCGCTTATGACAACAGTTCCCTATGCAGGTCCACTTCTTCGTATATACCCCAATGTAACGGTTTTTTTTCGATATTTTTAAGGTTTTAACAGAATTTTTAGTGGATGTTATCCTTTTGAAAATTTTTAAATTCGCACCATATGGTGTACATGCATAACGAATTTATGTCCAGTTTTTCATGAAAATAATTTCCATTTTCGCCCTAAGTTCATAACAATATTTTAGGTTATCCATATAGTCCTTATATTTGTGTCGACTCGGAATTTCTTTCAACATTTCTTGCCAAAACTATTTGTATGTTGAAAAATAACTCTTGGGTTTTCAGATTTTAGCGCATGTCTTTTTCTGAAACCATTGACAAATGCACTTCTAGAGGCATGTGATAAATTTGCTTTCTTCTTTTTTATTGTATCGCAGACCGTTTGTTTGCCAAGACCATATTTTTCTGATAACATACCAATCACACAAATACTTTTTACGATTAACTTTCAATCACAGGCTGAATGTATTTTATATTCAACTAGCTGACCCAGTCCGCGTTGCCGGCCCGTAGTTTTAGTCTTTAATGCATAGTTTTTAAAGAATAATAATTCACAAATCTGGCTCACATAAGTGGCACAATTTTTTGTATAAATTATGACTCGATTAAATAGAAATAAATACGTCTTTCAGAAAACCTGATCTTATTTTTTAGTAAGAGGTTTTAGTTTCAGAGTTAAAAACCTAAATAATATAGCATATATATTAAAAAGTATACATTAACTGTTTATAATAGGCCCATGTAAGACGGTTCCCTACCCCCCAAAGTAGTCTAAACATTCGACAATAAAATCAAAACCCTCGCAATAGGTAAAATCAGGAGGTACTTTTATATGAGCGCTACTCCGAAACATTGATATTGAAAATTTTCCGCGAAGGTCTTCTACCAGAAGGGGAGCTATGTATATCACAATATAGACCAACCTGATACATATTTTGAACAAATGATTTCTCGTGTTACCCCTAGGACTATATCAAATTTAAAACTTTGTCGAAACTTTTGCGGAGTATAGGGCAAAATATTTGCGCCGTTTGTGTATGGTTAAAAAAGTTAGATCCGGGAACCCCTCTTTTGGGATTTTTATTTACCAACCAAAAAATGTCCTAAACCCAAGATTTTCTGCAGCTCAGTGTAATTACTGACGATAGCGCATAGTGCCCGTATAACGTTACCTATAATTTGAGGTTACTTTAAAGGGTTCGGAAGAATTTTCCGAGTATATGAATCCTTTTCTTACTATATTTTCAATTCACTTCACAATTTAGTATAGTCCGTATTACAGTGTCTCTTCATATTCGGTATTTCACTGATTGAAGTCCCAATGAATGAATTTTGAGTTCTCATTGGATGGATTATTTCCATATGTCATGTCAGTTCCTCAGCCCCAAAATAAATACTTAGGATTGGAGGGAAAGTCAACAGTATGTCGTGTAATAATTTTAAAACCGATATCTTCATTATTTGGCAAATATAAGGATTTTAGATAAATCGAAATAGTGGGCGTAAACGTAGACGTGGTCAATATTTTTTGTTTTAAAAACCTAACTCGGGGTATGACGAACGTTTGTACAAAAAATTATGCAAATCGGCCCAGCCGTTCTCAACTGATACCATTACCAACGAACAACAATTGATTTTTATATATATAGAAAGAATTCCCTTTTGAAAACAGACATTTTACTGAGTATATTTTTTAGATTTGTCAGAGTATTTTCATTTCTGGTTATCATATCTTCATTTTGATTAAAGCTTATTAGTTTTTATTAGATACGTTTTCATTCATTCTACGTGGAATTAGTTAATTATTTCTTATGAGCAAAATTTCGTTGCTCTTGTGGATCAAGTTTTGTTTATTTATGCATTTATTTTACGTTTTTATACATTTTTATCACTTCTAATTCCCCCATAAACATTTTCTTCTCTATTCTTAGGGATAATCCAGCACAAATACATCGTTTGATGCCGTGGATCAGTCGCGATTTGCAATGTTTGTTACGTCAATCCCAACATGATGTTAACACTGTCTTGGAATCCATCAATTCAGCCTTAGTTCTTATGAATATCCTATCGCCGGCATTCCGCCGTCGTTTGCAAACATATTTGGGCAATAAGACCGCACACTTCATACACGAATTGAATAATTTCGCTAGATCGCCATTTGATATGATTGGTTATGATAGAGTTGTTGAATACTCACCACAGTCCAGTGAGGATGTCGTCATAGAATTCACTTCATCGGATGATACAACTGATACAGATGAAATCGACGTAGCTGAAGATTCAGCTACCCAATCTGTCGCTGCATCGACAAATGGTGGGACTCTTGATAATGATGATGTTGAAAATCTTCCAAGTTATTACAGAGTATTTAATACTCATTTCAACTCTTTTACAGCTATAAATTTAACAATTCATAACCGCTTAGCGTCAAATATGACACGACATGGAGGTGATGGAACAGCCGGCCCAAGTGGTTCGATGCGTTCGGTTGTACAAGATGGGGTTAGTTTGGTTATTGATTTAAGAAACGAGCCAGAGGAGACGACTGCGACCGATGCAGCTGTACATGGCAACAACAGTACAGAGGCTGTAAGTTCGAATTTAAGTCAGCCAACCGTTACGGAAAACATCGAATTAACATCGGGCAGCAGTGATGAATGTGAATTTGTTTTGGAGCGTAAGCCTCCACATTTGCGAACACCCGAAAAGGTTAGTCTAGACTCGGCATCGGATTCCGATGTGGTTTTTGTCGAAGAAACAAAACCCTTAAACAAAACCTCATTCAGTACAAGTGAAGCAGAACCGGACAACGATGATGCCGATACGGGCAAAGTAAAACGCCAATCGTCTAATCGTTCTAAAATTACAGCCTTAGTAGAAGCCAAGAAACGTAATCAACAGTCTGCTACCAGTACAACTAAGAATGACGCAACACCAAACAATTCAGATATATATAATGTGGGAGCAAGCACCTCGGCGGCACTACGACTATCGATACAACAAAACAAAAAGCGGACTAAATATTCTCTGCGTAATGCAAGAGCGGACACGAATCAGGTCAATCCAACAAGACGCCGTGGCAAACGTTTGCCAAGCGAAAGCAGCCATTCCAGTAGTTCCGACTCCTCTTTGGGTGATGGGGCAACAAGTGGGTCTTCAAGCGACGAAGAATATGTTCTATCGGCAAATCAGAGGCATAGTGCGAAAAAACGCAGGCGAGTTAAAAAATCAAAGAGGAGGAGAAGTAAGTGTGGCACTTCAGCTACAAAACGAAGGAAGACAAACAACAATTATGAATCGACTGACGATGATCCGGAGGAAAGTGAAGATGACGACGATGACGACGAAGATGATAATGGGCATATGGGAAAGAATTTTGCCCTCGTTATGGCCTTAAACGGGCGACTAAAAAGACAAGAGGAGAAACTAAAAACATTGCGTGCGACAAATATCGATGACGAGGAGAATCAAAGCGAGGGGGAGAACTCATGGCGTGTGAAGGCAGTCAACGAACCTTTACGGAAACAGCAACAACAACAGGCTAAAAGTGCTCTAATCGGTAATGGACGTAAGCGAAGGATACGAAAATTGTCTCACAAGTCAACGAACGACGAAAATATCAAACAGCCTAAACTTGACGACGATGAAACGCAGGGTGGCAGTGATACCCATGGGAAAGAAGAGCCAGCATTCAAAAATTGTGAAAGCTCAGGGGAAAGCAGCGAAAGCGATAATGTAAAGTTAATAGAGTTGAAAACAAAGCTCTCGAAAAATTCTACCAGTAATGAGAACCTGGAATCAACAAGTAACGAGCGTTTACATGACGAAGATGCGAATCGTGTTACCAGTAGCAGTAATGACCCACAAGATAAGTGCACGGAAACAGCAATAGCCAGTCCTCGCTTGCCGTATGCCCAAGAGAGTCTCCATATAACTGCCTGTGATGATAATGCCGCCTCAAATATGCCCACCGTTGTAGTATCCGCCCTCGAAACGCAAACGCACAGTTCATATGATGATGATACAGTTGCCATTGCTGCTGGCTGCAGCCATCCACATACAACAGGTAGCGAAGCCAAAACTGCACCGGTAGATGATATTCAAGGCGAGAATTCAGGAGAAAATTCAGAAAATCAAGACAAGTCTGTTAACTTCAAAAATCCAGTTGATGACATTAAAAAAGAGATGGAAGAAATCGAACATGAGGGTGATACAGAGCATGCACGCAGAGAAGCAAATGAGGACAATGAGTATAGTAATGAAACATCCAATTTATATTCAACAACAGAGCACGATGAAGAACAGGAAGATATTAAACAAGAACGTGAAGAAGGAGAAGAAGAGGATGATGATGATGACGAGGAAGATGATGTAGATGAAAATGGTACTACGTTAAATGAGAATATGTCTCACGATTCGAATGTTTTCGATGCAAATAGCATGAGTAATACGACCACAACCGACACAATACTAAATGAAGCTGCCGAACAAATTTCACCAGCTGCCGTTAGTTTTTATACACCTCAGCCACAGTCTTCTTCTTTCAATACTGCCGATTTTGCTGACGACAATACGATGAATAGTAGCAGTTCAGAGAGTTCAGTATCATCTACCACAACATCATCAAGCAGTAGTAGCAGCAGCAATAATACCAATGATTTTATGAATTATCTTTCATAAACTATGTAAGTAATGTTTTGTCGGTGATATTTATTAAAGAATTATTCAAATTATATTTTAAAAATTATTTAATTTTAGATTAACCCAAGGTTAGGTTAGGTAAGGTTAAAGGATGTGTGGCTGTGTAAAACAACCACTCCACTCGGAGACCTATTGGCCCATTGTGATCATCCTAATTTAGAAAAAATGAAAGTGAAATAAGTTAGGGGGTTAGAGTAGAATATAGATAGGGAATAGAAGAGTTAGTGTGTTTGCATCCTCGGTGTAGTCAGCGTGTCGTCCTTAGCCATTTTAGTCTTCTGGCTAACTGAAGAATAACTGCTGGCCCGGTTTCGGAGAGGCATGACAAGTCGGGCAGAATTTGCTTACCCAGAAGCCTATGTCTTACTCTGATAAGGGTAGGACAGTGACATCTTGGCAAAGCCTGCAGTATTCAGTGTCGTCACCCCCCCCCCCCCCCAATTTTAAAGTCATGGCCTTTATGTTTCAATGACCTGTTATTAGACCTAACACAAGCTTCAAGTTCAACTTCGTTATGGCAAAATCTTTTTGGAGATGTTACATCCCATTCCAGATAGCCAGTTCTGTTGAAATCTCCCAAGATAGTGATTATGCAGTACTTGAAAGAAGTGGCATAAAGGTGGCTTCACTGAGCTCCCAGTCACTAGATCTACTGACTCAGATCCACGTCTGGCCAATTCATCGGCAAATTCATTGCCAGATATGTTGCAGTGTCCAGGAACCCAACAGAGCTTGACAACCGACTTAACCTTTTCCAGGGCATTCTTGCACTCCAGAACAGCCATAGATTTGATTATAAAAGAATTTAGAGCTTTTAGGGCCGCTTGACTATCGACATATATAGTCGCCGGTCCATCCCGTTCATTGATTCTGTTTTTCAGCAGCTCTATGGCCATTCTGATAGCAAAAATTTCTGCCTGAAAAACGCTACAATCGCTTTTTAGCCTGGGGGATCTTTGGATACTTAAACTTTCACAGTAGACTCCAGCCCCCTTTCCATCTTTGAACCATCAGTATAGACAGCTATACCGTTAAAAGTTGGAGAGTCACGGGACCAGATATCCCTGTTTGGTATGTGGATGTCGAGTAATTCAAAGCTGTGCCTAGGGAGTATATAGTCACTAGCTATTGCCTGATTACTTACGTTCTCCACATACTTAAGAGTGACAGAGTGTTCGAAGGATTGACTCCGCCATTTTCCCAGTTCATTGAGTCGCAGGGCACACCTAGCAGCTAGTTCCTCTACAAATAAGCCTAGCGGCTTTAAATTGAGTAGGGTATCTAGAGCGGATTGTGGCGTGCTCCTGGCCGCACCTGTAATTAGTAGCGATGCAACTCTTTGGACTTTATTAATATTCTTGCTGAAGGTGGTTTTCCTTAAGGAATGCCACCAAACAAGTCCCCCATAGGTTAGGATTGGTCGGACGGCTGACTCATATATCCATCCGATAATATGGGGTTTAAGCAACCAACTCTTTCCTATGGACTTTTTGCAGGAGTAAAGTTCATTTAAGGCCTTCTTCGCTCGCTCCTCGATATTCCTCTTCCAGCTTAGTTTCTGGTCTAGGATAGTGCCGAGATATTTTGCTTCCGAAGAAAGGCTTAGAATTACACCGTCCAGCATTGGCAGAGAGAAGACAGGTATTTTCCGCCTCCTTGTAAAGAGTACGAGCTCAGTTTTAGATTAACCCAAAATTCATTATTTTGATGTGTCCTTAATTTTATTATTGGCTTTTGACATCATACTTAAACTAGGATAGGGTATAATACACAGTGTATATGTATGCTATGTGTTGAAATTTCGCTAATCTGGTTCTTCCTCTGACAACAATGTAGAAAGGAACCTGAACAACTCGTGCATCAGTTTGGCAGCCCCCTCGATGTCAAGAAAGGCCTTCAATAATGTCACACTCGAGGCAAGTCCTAGTTCCCTCGCAAAACTTAGTATACCACCACTCCTAGTTGATTGGATTGATGTTATGCTTAGCAGTAACTCAAGCATCGGGGAGTGTTCTGTTAGGAAAACGGTCACTAGGGGCACTCTGCAAAGAGGGGATCTGTCACCACTACTTTGCCTTTTGGGGATAAATGACATTCTAATCGAACTGGAAAATGGCGGAACAAAGGTCGTGGTTTACGCCGACGATGTGGTCTTGCTGGGAAATTCCCGCAAACTGTTTCAGATCTTATGCAGGGAGCTCGAGTTAAACTCTCGAGATGGGCACATGCATGTTTTAGATGAGTTTGGTGTGCCCTTTAAAGGCCCCTCAATGTCGAAAGAAGCTGTCAATATGAAAAAAGAGCCATTCATATTTTTCTCGATGTGACCTACGACGTCGTTTTGCGCTGTCTCAACAGACTTGCCCTTCATGTAGACGTGTAGTAGAGTTCTGATTTTAACCTTTCAGGAGGTTTTAGCAGAAAGGAGGAATGACTAATTGGTCTGTAGTCCTTTGGAAGTGAATGACTTGGTTTCCCAGCTTTGGGAATGTATGTGACAGTGAAGCCTTGGGAAACTCCAACAGAATCGGGACTATTGCCGTTGATGCAGATGGTACTAATACTGCATAGCAGTATTAGTACCATCTGGCCCTGATGATTTGAAGGGTTTGAAAGTGTCGATGGCCCCGCTTCATTTTGGGAATACTTGAAATTCTATCAATCAGGTTCTCATTCTAAGCAGTACATTGACGACCCCACTGAGTGAGTTTTCGATAGATTATCGCATTTGTACAGTAGGGCCTAAGAGTCTCTAAACCGGAGTCACTCCACGTACCATCTCCACGCTTTATACGTCCAATATATTTACGATCTTTTGAAAAGACTATGCGGAATATGCATGCTTTTTTTAACATTCGCTAGCATATCCATGATTTGCGCTTAACCTTCTTCATCTCAATATTCTTAAAGGCTGCCTTATAGGCTTCCTAGTCCGAACGTTGTTTGGTCTTGTTGGTTCTATAACATAATCTTGAGCTTGCTTTCCTATAGTTGATTAAATGGCCTGCCTGAGAAAGTAAGCGGTCACGATTTTTTTGATGAAAGCCTTGTACTAGAATGTACACTGAGAGGAGATCTTTCAGTCCTATGTAAGCGATCCCTATTAGTAAGGGTGAAATCAATTACCCTTTCCCTGTCCTTGTTTTGAGATTACGGATCAAAAATGGAGTCACTTCTGGCCTTTCCTTGCTGTTAATAGTCTTCGCTACTATCGACAAGAGCTAAATCGTCCTGTAGATTCACCTTGCTGGCATCCTTTCCTGGATTTAGTAGCAGGACTTCCCGTCCCATTTTTAAGGCTTCGGGAACAATGTGGATTGCTAGCGACATGTTAAGGACATTTGACCGTTACTTAACTTCCGGCTTATTCAGCGATTTTAACAATACAATTAAGATTCTATCCCGACCCAAAGTTTGGGTGACATGGAGTTTCAGAGGACATGTGCAACATCACCCATTCTAAACTGCAGTGGGCCAGGAAGTGATCTAATACGACATAATATAAGAAATTTCGCCCTATAAGTATTCTATTCACAACTTACTCATATCGGTTTCACTTCTCCGCTAATATTGTCTTGCATCAACCGGTTGATCACCACTATCAACTCGCTGACTCTGGAATCAGCAGGGATGGAGAGACAGAGCTCATCACGGTTATTTGCTAGATGATGTTTCGGAAAAACCTTCTGCAACCCGAACATCAGAAGATATGGGCAGTTCTTTGAAAAAAAAACGGCAGTATCAGTTTCTCTCGTGTGATCACTTTGTGATTTTTGGGTTTATTCTTCCCATTATGTATCGCACATTTATATAATACAATTCGATTACCTATTCGAATATAATTATAACTCTTCTTTCCATTTCAGGTTACAGCCATTCATCTATACTTTAATTCCGACTTAATAAAATAGAACGAACCAAACTACAACCAATCCAATTTTTTTTCATGGCATCCATCGACAGCCGATAACGATAGCAACAGAAAAAACACGGATATCCATAGACACATAAATAATAAATAGTTTAATTTTATATATCGTATATGAACTCTCATCCATAGCAATATATACATATACGCATATGTATGTCATACATAGAATGAACATTTTGCAGAAATCATACATTTGAGTAGAAAGAGCAATGCTTTCATACTATAATAACAACTACAAATATTTAATTGTAACTTACTTTTGGCTGGAATCGTTCCATACTCCATGTCCATAATTGCAACAAAATCCTTAGTATAATTTAATTTAAGTTTGAACACAAATTTGTATGCATAATCTAATTAGTAAATAGCCATAAGTTTTCAATGTATTTTTAAGTTATCTTTTTTGTATAGTGTACAACTGGTAACACAAGTTTTTGTACATCATTTCGAACATCTCCATCCTGCAATTGCACATAAAACCAATAACCGGAATAAATTTAATTATTATAATGCAATCGATTTCATGAGATATATCCCTTTGAAAATACAGTCCACTTAATCCAGCAGGAATATTTTAATAAAATTATTAAAAATATTTAATCAAGTGAACTCTCTCATTATTATTATTTTTCCAATTGATCAACGAACAACTATATGTAAAGAAAAAGCAAAACAACAAATACAAAGAATTAAAGAAAAAATGGGGGAAACTCAATTGTAAATAGTTATGATGTAGTTGTGAAAAGTTTCAGAATATTAAGACACAACAATATTACTCTTTGTTTGATTCGAATTAAATCTTAAAAAAGGAAAATGTGTTAAATGTGTGAGTGTGTATGTGCGTGTGTAAGTGTGCATAAAAAGAGTAAATTGTAATGGGATTGTTCCTCCTTTCGTGTTTGAAATCATTCACCACTGTTCATAATAATATTATAATGGTATTGTACTATCTAAACTCAATAAAATGCTTTCACCGTTCTAAGTTTTATAAGCGATATTTTACAAATGATTAAATTTAAATACTTTACATAATATATAAATTAAAAATATATATACACAAACAAAACTACACATTCATATATGGAGTAAGAATGAAAGTGAAAACAAATACATACTTATGTTCATGTATTTGAAAATCGTGTGTTTTATTTTTGATATTGTGGCATGCAACTATGTAGTTTGTAGCACATCGAAATTTATGATACAAACTGATACATCCATATGAATCTCCACATTTAAAACCGTCGTCCTTTGTACAGGTATATAAATGCATTGTTTCATTTAAAATTATGGTGAGAAATCCGTAAAATAGAGTTGGTTCCCTATATGCAAGTAATGCATTGGCTGTATGTAACTATGACTGACCTATGGATACAGCATTTGCGCACAAAACACACTCCGAGCACGGCATTCATTTTATAGTTGCCTATAGCATCCGCGACTGCATCGGTATGAATGCCTCTCAAACCTGCCTGATAGGCTTCTTGATCTAGAGGTTCCCTCTAATAGCGTTGGATCTCCCTCTCTAGATCATGTATGTCCTTTCTGACACGCCTGGGTAGGGGAGTGGTATCCACCATATGATGGTTGGAATGACTCTCACTGTAACACCCAGTCAGGTACTGCAATGAAAGAAAATGAATATGCTGACGTAAGGGAAGGACTTTCGCCTCCTCGTGTAGATGATTCACTGGTGTCATGAGAATGCACCCTGTCGCAGTTCTGAGGGCAGTTTCACTCTACGGGGCTTTGGACTTCTTGTTCCGGAATTCCACGTACGACTGGCGTCCACACATATAGTTGATTATCCAACGTTTCAAACTTGGCCGGAGGGTGGTTCTCTGCGCGTCCTCAAACAGTATGACATTATTTACCGTATCAAATGTCTTTGATAGCTCAAGGGCTACCAACACTGTTTTGTCACACGGCTTGTTCTGGTTCAGTCCTGTACTAATATGTGTGGAAATGGTGTGTAATGCTGTTGTGGACGGAATCCGTGCTGGTGCTTGGCAACTATATAGCTTCCTCTAATGCTGGGAAGGAGTAAAGCCCAAAGAGTCTTGGCTACTGACGACAAAAGCGAGATCGGCCTGTACTGAGATTCGCCTTTGCTAGCATGCTTGCCTGGCTTCAGTGGCGGGACCACCCGCCCCATTTTCCAGGTTTCGGGCACTATGTGGGTGGCTAGCGACAAATTGAGAACTTTCGTTAAGAACTCGACTCCCGGCGTCCGGGCCCAACGCTTTGGATGACTTATCGTTACAGATGACATTTGCAACATCACCCATCGTAAACTGTGGTGGTTCCTCCTCAGCGGGAAGAGATCTGATACGACGTAGTACTCTTCGCTTCGCCCTGTTGCTCTCGGGGTGCTCGACAAATTGTCGGTTAAAGTACTCCGCGCACCTCTTCGGATCAGTCCCCGTTATGTCGTTAAAAGTGACTGAGGTCCTATCATCCTTTTTTCCAGGGTTCGAGAGCGACTTAACCGTCACCCACAGCTTATTCATATCGGTCCCAATGTTGCAACACTTGAGATGCTCTAGCCACTTTTTCCTCTTATGCTCCTGTATCAACCGGTTGACCTCCACTGTCAAATCACTGATTCTAGGATCAGTAGGGTTGGTACGATGGAGATCATCACGCTCGTTTGCTAATCCCGCTGCCTCTGCTGGTCTTATCTCGGGTATTCGAACAGCAGGTATATAGCAAGCGGCTGTAGCTTTGATGACGCTTCGGAAAATCCTGTTTGCTACCCAAACATCAGAAAAGTTGGGCAGTTCTCTGAAGCGGCGGTTCGTGAATTCTCTGAACTCTGACCAGTGAGCTTTCCAATGGTTAATGGAAGTACGGCGTCCAGAGGTTATGAAATCGATCGCCCTGCTTATGGAGACGATTATCGGGAGATGGTCTGAGCCAAGAGAAATGACAGGTTGCCAAGTCACGTCACCGGGTGACACTATGGTTAAGTCTGGCGAACTGTGACACTTTCGTTGTATTCGGGTGGGGGCATCCTCGTTAACCGTGCAGAATGTGGAGCAGTCAATCTGCTCTGCCAGCGCTGATCTTTTCGTGACATTATCTGCTTGGACGTTGACGTGGAATTCATCCAAACAATCATATGGTGGATATAACTTCGGCAGGGCAGGTGAGACCTACACGATTTTGAGAGGAAGGTCCAAAGCTATTAGAGAGATAGAGAGAGTGTGCCTCTGGATCCATAAGCAATACACTATGGATGGCGTCTTCGGTTGTCTACATTCAGGATGGTGCAGTCGACTCAATTCATATTGCTCTTGTAATGGAAACGCTTAGCACCTTAGACTAGCAGGCGGTACATTTTTATACCCTCCACCATAGTATGGAAGGTATATTAAGTTTGTCATTCCGTTTTTAACACCTCGAAATATACATTTCAGACCCCACAAAGTATATATATATATTCTTGATCAGCATAAGATTCTATGTCGATTTAGCAATGTCCATCCGACGAAAATGGGACATGTAGGTCCACGTCTTTGTATAGTCTCATATAACGGTACCCCCGATATTCGGTATTTTGATGATTTTAGCGACATTATTTACCGGAACTATTTAAAATTTGATATTTCAATTTCGTTATGAATACTACAGCCTATGACAGAAAACTGTCTGTGCAGGTCCACGTCTTCGTATAGCCCCCATATAAGGGTACCTCCCGATATTCGGTATTTTGATGATTTTAGCGATATTATTTACCGGAATGATTTTGTATTTGAAGTTCGTAATGGATACTATAGCCTATGCCAGAAAATTGTATGTACAGGTCCACGTTTTATAACCACCATGGTACCTCCCTATAATCGGTATATTGATGATTTTAGCTACATTAAAAAAAGTTTTTTTCATAGCTTGTGACATAAGTTGCCTATGCAGGTCCACGTCATCGTATACGGTATACGGCTACATTCGGTATTTTAAAGATTTATATTCGAAATTTTGATGATTTTAGCTACATTATTCACCGCAGGTCTACGTCGTCGTATAGACCCTAATATAACGGCTACATTAGATATTTTTAAGACGGATTTTATTTTTGAAAATTGCCCAAATCGGCCGGCCGAACTTACTGCTTTTTTACTTGTTAGTAATATTTTCGGATACCTAAAATTGGTTTAATCTCTCTCTTTCTCTCTCTCTCTCTCTCTGAAAACGGCGTATTTAATATTGTTAGTAAGGTCGGTCATATTTGACTCTTGTTCGTAGCAACAATCATAAATTTCCCATCTGTATTCATTAATCGTTTTAGTAATTAATAGTAGAATTAAATAAGCGAGACCATTTGTGTTTATCTTAAGTAAAATAAAGCCCACGATATTAATTAAATAGCATTTGTGCCAATATTTGCTACAGGTACTGCAAAATATCTATAAGTAGCCGCAATTTTCAATAAAGTGAGATATATTGATATTTTTTAAGTCCAGTCATGAAATTTTTCATTGCATGTTTGATTGGTGTAATAACTCTGTTGGCATTTGGCCAAGCAAAGGTATAAATCCATTAATTCCAATTTTTCTAAATTTTCGAAGGTAAACTTTTCGCCTTTTCCACATCAATAGAGTACAACTTTGATAGCCGAGAAAGCTCAAGATGACAATCATGGTGTACAGGAAGATCAAAATGGTGGTGATGTGATTCCTCCGCTCGTACATGTCCTATTTGATTTTGGATCTAACAATTTTTTTGGACAAGGAAACTACTTTCCTGATGATCGCAAGCGCCCCACTACTCCTACAACAACTACTGCATGGTACTAGTTTTGAAATGAAAATAAAACTTAATAAAATAACCATAAAAGTTTAAAAGCAAAAGTGAATATTGAAAAATATAAAATTTATATTGGTTTAAATGTCTTAATAAAAACATTAATTGAAATAAAAAGAACAGTTATTCACGTTATTTGTTTACACAAAACGTGGGAAAGAAAATCTCAAGCAGTTAGAGTCGATTAGAGTCAGACTATGGTCTACAGCATGTAAAAAATCTTTAAGCAATCAAACGATTCGGGAATGTTCTCAGCATTACTGGAAGGCGATTCAAGACATGATGTACTCCATTGTCTTTAAAGCCCCCCCCCCCCCTCTAACTTTTTGGGGATTTTTTGAAGGGTATTCCTGCACTATGAATAGAGCTAATGGATCCTCAGAAGACACAGTGAAGATTTAATGAAGTTGAGGGTTTTGAGTTATAAAATCGGTACTCGGGCATCTGCAGAATCTACGTCGGTATGTAATTGAATAAAAAAGCACAATTTACAATGTACTACATCAAATTGTTGCCATCTAGTTGGAATTGAGTAATAAACCAAAATCAATCTGCGCTCAAAATTAAATCAAAGACCTAAAATGGTAAAGACTAGACAAAATGCATTCTGAGCAAATGGTTTGTGTCTATACTATATAGATAACAGTTCATGACAGGACCATGTTAATATAAAAAAATAGATTTATAGAAAAAAATTACAAACAAAAGTTTGAAAAATTGAAAAATTGGGTTTTAAAATTCTGTTCCATAGTTTTTCCCAATTAATTGCACATTTCACAAGCGGTTTAAATCGCTTAACATTGCTAACTATGTTGTTACGATATCATAACAACAGAGGTAAAAGCGGCACATACCGCGTGTTGGCATAAGATTATTTAATTCTTCCTTTAATTCAATATTTGAAATTTCTTCTGTCTTCATAGGCTGTGGTCAAAGAGTTTCTGGATTGAATTCTGCAGGTCAATTGAATAGACAAACATTTTCATCAATTCGTACCCATTACGAATTAAGACGACAGCACTATCCAGGTTTGGCTAGGCAGCCAGCTGCAATGGCTGGGCTGTGAACTTCGAGGACGACACTCATACTGTAGTTGTTTAGAACATCGGTGACTGCTTCAGTATGAATGCTACTTAGAACTGCCTAATAGGTTTTTTATACCCTCCACCATACTATGGAGGGTATATTAACGTTGTCATTCCATTTGTAACTTCTCGAAATGCTCATGTCAGACCCAAACAAAGTACAATTCTAAGTCAATTCTGTATGTCTGTCTGTCTATCTATCTGTCCGTCTGTTGTAACTATCATTCGAACGAATTGAGATAGAAGGCTAAAATTTTGCATACATGTTTTTTTCCAGTAGGCAGGTTAAGTTCGTAAATGGGCCATGTAGGTCCACGTATTCATATAGCCCCCTTATACCGGTACCTCCCGATATTCGGTATTTTTATTATTTAAGCGACATTATTCACAGGAATTGCTTCAAATTTCGTATTTGAAGTTCGAAATAGATACTACATACTACTACAGCCTAAGACAGAAAATGAGCCATGTGGGTCCACGTCTACCCCCTATATTTGGTATTTGGATTATTTTAGCGACATTAATTACCTGAATTATTTCAAATTTTGTATTTGGAGTTCCTATATAAAGGCTATCTCTCATCTATCTACGCCGTATAGGTCTTTCCCAACTTCTACGGGAATAGCTATTGCAGAGAAAGCATGTGATTAGGCTGAGGTACGGGAAGAATCTTTGCCTCCTCATGTAAGTGGTCCACTGGTGTAACGAGAAATCAACTTGTTTCAGTGTTTAACGCAGCGTTCTAGCAAAAATGGAAAATCTTTCACTGCGTAGAACTCGTGTTCGCAGATCACACAATGTTTTAAACTTGGTTATTTCTCTCGATATCCTCAATCAGCGTGTCGCGGTTGGCTGTATCAAACACCTTTGATAGGTTAAGGGCTACCGACAGTGTTCTATGGCATTGAATATGACATATGATAATTGACACCTGGATAGCTTCCAATAATTATGGAAAAAATCCTGGGCATATATGACTAGCCTTTGCTGGCACCTTTGCTTAGCTTCAATAGCGGGACCACCCGTCCCATTTTCCAGGTTTCGTTAACGATGCACAAGGGTTTGTAATTACAGCAATCTGGAAACTTCCGGTTCATTGAGGTAGCTCTACAAAGAAAATAAATAGATGCAGAAAAGTGAGAGATTAATATTGCAATAGAGATGCTCTGTCATTTTAGACAAACAGACTAAGACCCCGATGAAGGTGGAATCAGGGGATACCTTCATATGAGAATAAGATTAAAAAATATTTATTGGAGCAATAGATATACCGAACCTAGTTTCACAAATTCGGTTGAATATGAAAAAATCTATCCAATTTGGGCTGATATTACATATATAATAACCACATAATAACCGTGAAATCGAATGAAGATGTATCAAAGGCATATAAAAATCGGAAACGATCACGATAAAATTTAGTAGAGTTATTTTCGAGTTGTATCTGATATCTGGTACCAAAGATCATTGTTGTGGAGTGCATATTACGCATGTGAGGGACTTAAAACCTCAAATCGAATGAAACATATATATGGGAGTTATAGCTAAAACTGAACCGATGTTCACCAAATTTGAAGTAATTGCTTCTGAATTCGGTCGGATGTGCCAAATTTCAGGTCATTTGTACTGATATTAGCCATTTGGTGCACAATTAACCCGAAATTGGTTTAAGATATATATGGGAGCTATATCTAAATTTGAACCGATTCTTATCAACTTGGTACATCGTAATATTATTGTCAAACTTAGATCGAGTTCGGAGATGGGCAATATCGGACCACTCCTTATGGTATTTCCCTCACAAAGGGTTAACATTTTGAATATTTATGAAGCTCTTGAAACACGAAATTAAAATCCGATTCCATTCAGACTTGGTACAAATCAATATTTTTTTTCAATACAAGATCTGTTTTAAAGATGGTAAAAGTCGGAACATTTCTTCTGGTGCCTCTCCCACAAAGGGGCAAAGTTTTGAATAGCCAAAACGATTATAAAATCCGAAAAAAAAAACATCCGATTCTCTTCAAATAACACACATCTCAATACTTTTATTAACCCAAAGTTTGGTGTGAAAATGTGATATATCGGTCAAATCTTTCTGGTACCTCCCCCACAAAGGGTCAAAGATTTGAATAACCAAAACCATTATAAAATCCAAAATAAGCATTCGGTTCTCTTCATATTTCACACATCCCAGATTTTCTACTGACACAAGTTCTGCTGTGAAGATGGGATATATCGGACCACTCCTTTTGATACCTTTCCTACAAAGAGTCAAAATTTTGAATAATTATAACTTTTATAAAATGTGATGTAAGAGTCGGATTGTCTTCCAAATACGTAATTCACAATATTTTTATTAAACCAAGGTCTGGTGTAAATATGGAATATAACAGTTCACTCCTTCTGGTACCACCCCACAAAGGGTCAACATTTTGAATATCCATGAAGCTCGAAATTAACATCCGATTCCATTCAGACTTGGTACAACTCAATATTTCCAACAACACAAGATCTGTTATACATATGGAGGAGATCGGACCATTTTTTCTGGAAGCTACCCCACATGGGGTTTCAAGATTTTGGAAAACAAAACGCTCGAACAAAGCGAAATGAGCATCTAACTCTTTTCAAATTTCACACATACGAACATTTTTACTAACATAAGATCTGTTTGAAGATGATATATATATATATATATATATATATATATATATATATATATATATATATATATATATATATATATATATATATATATATATATATATATATATGCGCACCCCTTCTGGTACCTCACGCACAAAGGGTCATAATTTTCAATATTTTTATCTATCATAACCTGTGAAACAAGCCAGGGATTCTCAACTAGAATCCTGGGATGAATATGGAATTTATGATTTCGCATAAAATCTAATTTCCTTGAAATTTTGCCCATACCGATATTTTTATCCGTAAAAGATGAAGTATGAAAATGGAATACTTCGTTCGACTATTTCTCAAATTTTAACATTTTCTAAAAATTATCACATATCTCATATAAACAGAAGGAAGTAGTCGATATAGTCCAAAATTGGCACGTCCTAATATTGATATCATATCACTCAGGTCCGATACCAAATGGACAATATCGGACCTTCCTTCGGAACCTACTCAATAGAGGGTCAACGTTTTGAATAATTATAACCGAACTTAAAATATATTTAAATAATCGAACATTGGCTGAGGGTATAAAGCTCGTACGACTTCGTCATGCGAAACGTATTTAAACTCAAAAACGCCATGAAAATACGTATTATTCACCTTCCGATTATTGTTATCATAAAAAGTGGTATTTATTTATAAAAGATTTGTTTAATTCGTTAATATTCCCGTAATAATGAGCAATGGAGTTGGACTTTCCAACTCCCATCTCTCCAATAAGTTTTCATTCGTTTTGTGAAAAAAACGAAGTGCTAAATGTTGATGTAACGCTTCCACCCAGAGTATGATAAATATCTGATTCTGATAAGGTTCTTAATGTTGGAGTTAATCCACATCTTATTGTAATTTGTCTTTTTGATCGGAACCATGTATATTTGCAGAAGATTATGTTGGAGGAATCTTAGTTTATCATCGACAGAAATAATAACTTCGGCCGGGCCGAACTTTGAATACCCTCCACCATTTGGAACGAATTTGGCAATTCTCAAAAACATTAAAATCCGTAAAAAATTCTGTTAAAATTTTAAAAATACGGAATATATCTGTTATATTAGGGTCTATACGATGACATGGACCTGCATAGGTAACTTTTGTCATAAGCCATTATAAGACTCAAATGCGAAATTTTAAAAAAATCGGTGAATAATATAGCTAAAATCATCAAAATACCGAATATCGGGAGGTAACGTCATATAGGGGCTTTATGAAGACGTGGGCCTGCACAGACAATTTTCTGTCTCAGGCTGTAGTATCCATTACGAACTTCAAATACCTAATTTGAAACGATTCCGGTGAATAATGTCGCTAAAATCAACAAAGTACCGAATATCGGGAGGT